TTCCTACCACAAAAAAACTTGAATAAATGTAATAAGAAATATTTTAGCATAGTGTTAATATACTATGTCAAGCAATGGAAATATACTTTAATACCACTTTTCCACAGAAAGCTCATTGTGAACATTAAGGGCTTGTTTATTCTGCAATGATTTGGCCAGTGTATGTAAGATTTTGAAGATTCTTTATTGCAACAAAAGGTTAAAATAAAAATCATATAAATACCTTGCTTTCAAATAACTTATCATCTAGAAGTCAGGTTGCGTGAGAGAAGAAACATTGATATCTCTAATACATGATACATTATGGTTAACTTGGACTCCTAAAATTGGCATAACATAAGGAAATTAAATTTAATATAAATTAAAAAGAAGACTTTAATGGACAATTAATATACTGTAGCATAAACAACAAGTCTGAAGTTGTGATGAGGGCTATATGAACAGTTAATGGTGACAGAGGAAAACCCAGAATGGATCACCTCCAATTTAGAGTCATCACAAAAGAAGCCTTATAGAATAACAGTTCAGATAAATCTTCATTAAGATTTTGTTGTAGGGGAACCTGGGTGGCTTAGTTTTTAGGTGTCTGCCTTCAGCTTAGGTCATGGTCCCAGGGTCCTGGGATTGAGCCCTGCATAGGGCTCTCTGCTCAGTGGGGAGTCTGCTTCTACCTTTCTCTCTGCCTGCCTCTCTGCCTACTTGTGAACTCTGTCTGTCAAGTGAATGAATAAAATCTTTAAAAAAATTAAAAAATTAAATTAAAAAAAAGATTTTGTTGTATACAGGTTTGGAAGTAGAGGCAAAAAAATTTATATAAATAAAGATGAGAACACAGCATATATATTATATATATATACATATATATTCAAAATGCATATATATATGGACCTTGAATTGTTGAATAAATGAAAATTAAGCAAGAAGAGCAGAGAATCTACCACTTAGTGTTTCTGAATATGGAGTAAATACAGCCCAAGTGGTACTTTTGGAATTTAACACGATAACATTGTGCTAAATTCACCAAAGCATGTGGGAATGGAAAATAATGAGAATCTGAATGAGAGTATCAGAATAGTTTACACATCAACTACAGACATGGTCTTTAGGAAGAATACCCACCAACAAACTGTGTGTGTGAGAGTCCCATTAAATCAAAATCCTATAACATTGATGAATTTCCTTCCTTCTAGGTATCACCTGTTATCTGAGCTAACCCCAAATGTTCTTCTTTATATCTATATCTATTCATTTCATGTTGCTCTAAATATTATTTATCCTTCCAATAAATAGAAAATTAGAAAACACATACTATAGATAGATAGATAGATATCTATATATATGTATATAGAAAATACATGTCTTCATTCTTGAGGAGGCTGAGCTTTGATTGCTTTGTCTTTGTCAACCTATGAAAGCACCAAAAGCTTCCCAGTGAATTCTTCAAGTTTCAGACATATTCTTTCCTGTCCATACTATGTGGCAACAGCTCTACCTCCTCATAATCATTATCCAATACTTTCCACTTTCCACCAGGATAAAACTCCTTTCTTGCCTCATTAATCTAAAGAGTTATTCAAAAATTCAAAGCCTCAGGTTCAGATTTGTGTTCTGTGATGACAATGTTGCTCTATTGGGAACCAGAACCCCTTACCAGCAGAGCTCAGTTTGCAGAGAAGCAGAATATAATTTCTATGAGTGAGTTACTAAAAGTGATAGTTAAAGAAGCTAATTTTAATTCAATCTTTTGGTTTCCAGGTCATGCCTTTTCTACAAAGAGAACATAGTATTATATAATGAATATTGCCTCAATGAATACATAACATCCATGGATCAGTTCCCAACTTGATGCCTTATTTGAATGCCAGCCTCATCCTGATATTTGCTGGTATTTTGATATGTGATAGAAGAAGTGAATTACTTAGACCTGTGTCCATTCTTGCACACACTGGCCTATACAATGTCTCCTTTGGTCTGCATCTGTATTATGTGGGATTCCCTCAAAGTTTTTAATCATTTTTTAAGTCCTTGAATAATAGTGACTGCAGAAACACTTGGAATAGGAAAGGGAATTTATTTTTGGAGTGAGGCATAGGTTGCCCAGCATGTGCCCAACCCAGATACCAATAAGGAAAATTGCTGCCCATGCCCGACTGGAAGGGATCTAATGTAACCAACTTGCTCCCAGATGGCTAGTTCTTCTCCTTCAGAGCTCACTACTAATGGAACACTCAATACGCTAGTAGTTAGGTCAGCTTTGTGAGAGAAAGCACATGCTGTTGGCTGCATGTATAGTCTTCATCTCTACAAATATGGACCCTTCATTCATGAGTCTTATTTCACAAGTGATATAGCTGGGCATAGAGGCTGGTTAGCATTCACTGGATACATTATCTATCTGACATATTTTTTAGTTCCCTTCTGCATTGGATTCTCTTTACTAGGTCCATCTTTCTTATGATCTCTTTCTTATGATCTTTTACTTTTTTGTTTATCTAGATCCTGGCAACCTAGGCATGTGTCCTACCCAGACGCCCACATATATCTTTGATTAGGCCACATCTCCTTACTGTATATCAGGTCTGAGTTTATCCTGTCATGGCTGGCGTGACAAATTGACCAGGGTCGAGAGGGTAAGAGGATGCTGAAAAGAAATTAAGAGACAAAGAGATGGGGACAGGAGGAGCACCAAGGAGGATGTCCAATAATGCCAATTTTATTCAAGGCAGCAAGGCATTATATAGCTAACAGAAACAATCATAAGAAAGTGTCAGTTTTTAGCTGATTACTAAAGAGTTTGCAACATGCACAGAAAATCCTTCAAGCTTTCCCATTATCTATGTCCCAAGCACCAATAGCAGACCCTCTAGCGCCAGATGTACTGACTTTAAGGCCACTCAAGACATAGTTTATGTAAGCACAGCACAGTCTTACAGTGGTGTAGTCTATAGCCCGTGCAAGGACAGCAAGGACCAGCCAAGAATTTCTGACCCCGGCCAAATCGTCTCTATCTGACTAGCAAATGTGTGGGAAGTCACGTAGGCAAGTGCACAACACGTAGCACAGACCCTTTCTCAGTGCTACTCAACTTTATCGACCTAAGCCTTTTGTTCGGCTATTCAGCCTTTAAAGGAGGCACATCAGGGCCTGGTTTGGTTCTCGTCTCAAGCCTTATCATGGCCTCCCACATTATCCCCATGGGGCAATAGGTTTATGTTATGGAAGAGAGACCACTGCAGTGCATATAATAAATCTCTGAACCAATTGTTCATGTAATTTTCTGGGCCCTCTGTAAGTGCTGGGTCAAAATCTGATAGCACAATTTTCATCATACAATGGATTGTTGATGTTTCTGCCCCAAATGATTCCTTAGTGGATTGCAGGATATCCATTTCATGATGGGTAGATGAGGTCAGTTAGCTGCTTGATTTCAGTCCCAATTACTGTTCATTAGCATGCCAGGAAATGGTTTTCAAATAGTGAGCTATTTCATCTTGAAGATATCTTGGCCCTTTTCTAGAACCTAGAAGTTCTGTGTTATGATTCTCTAATTGGGTTTTGCCAGAGGTTACACAAAAAATCCTTATTAAACATGGATATTAATTGTAACATTGAATGTCATCTTGCATCACAGGTTAGACCTAACTGGATAAACTTCAAGACTTTGTTGGAGTCTCACTCAAAACTGTCAAGTTTCCAATGCATCTGACAAATTAATGGAAAGAATATTCCCATATGCAGTATATGCTTTTCAAAACCCATAGAAGCCCACATAGTGCTATGACTTTTAATGGTCAATAGTGCAAGGTGCAATAATTTAACCTTAACTTTATTTGGGATATTTTTGCAAGAACTCCCTGTACATTTCAAGTAAGAGTCCCTACTGTAGTAAGGATCAAGTGAAAGTCTCCAAAACTGACCTTTGCAACCAAGATATTAAATTAGATCCTTCCTTAAAATTGCAAAAAATATTTTCTGGAGAGCTATAATAGTGATACATTTTAAAGAATCATATCGGGAATACTAGCATTAAGTATAAGTTCTTTGCTAGGACATTATTTTCTTAAATCCTAACTAAAAATTTTTTTAAAAAGATTATTTATTTATTTATTTGACAGAAAGAGAGATCACAAGTAGGCAGAGAGGCCGTCAGAGAGAGAGGGGGAAGCAGGCTCCCCGCTGAGCAGAGAGCCTGATGTGGGGATTTATCCCAGGACCCTGGGATCATGACCTGAGCTGAAGCCAGAAGCTTAACCCACTGAGCCACTCAGGCACTCCCTGACTAAAGAATTTTATCAAAGTTGAATATTAATAATTCCACTTCTGGCATTATATCAGAAAATATACAAATTAACAAACAAAAAATTGACAAAAACAAACATGTTTTTTGTATGCTATGTGTTGATGAACTCATCTTAATATTTTTATGGAATATAAAAAATATCCAGGGGCACCTGGGTGGTCATGATCCCAGCATCCTGTGATCTATCATGATCCATGGGTGTGATTATATCACAATATAGTGATGACTGTGCTCATCATTGTAAGGGCCTGCCCCTCCCAGAGGAACTGGCTTGTGGACCCTGGATGTAGGGGTGGGGCAGGCCCAGTGGAGATGTCCAATCGGTGGGGTGCGCGTATATTCACTGGGGTGAATTGGGATTCAATTGGCTGCCTGTGTAGGGGCAGGGCTCAACCACCCCCATAAAGGTTGGTCTGCGAGGCTGGCAAGAAGAGGAGAGGAGAGCTGTCAGAAGAAGAAGAAGGAGAGCTGTCAGAGGAAGAAGAAGGAAGAAGCAGAAGCAGAAGAAGAAGAGTCGGTGGGAGCAGCAGCAGCAGAAGAGTGGGCGGGAGCAGCAGAAGAAGAAGAGTCGACGGGAGCAGCATAGAAGAGCTGTAACAGCTCTTGTAAGAGCTATAAGTGCCGCTGGCGGCCCCAAGCCGCCGGCAGCCCGGACACCAGCAGTTCGGCCACTGGCAGCCCCGAGGCGCCAGCAGTCCAGATGCCGGTGGTTGAGCCTCCAGTGGCCCCGAGCCGCCAGCCACCAGCGGTCCCGAGCCGCCAGTGGTCCTGCGGCCCCAAGCTGCCAGCGGTCCCGACACCGGCGGCCCTGAGCCGCCAGCGCCCCGAGCCACCAGCGGTCCTGCGGCCCCGAGCCACCAGCGGACCCAGTGCCAGCAGTCCCGACACCAGCAGTTTGGCCACCAGCAGTCCTGAGCCACCAGTGTTCCCGCGCCGCCGGCGGCCCGAGCCACCAGCGGTCCCAAGCCACCAGCGGTCCTGCGGCCCAGAGCCGCCAGCAGTCCTGACGCCGGTGGTCCTGCGCCACCTGCGGTCCCGCGCCGCCAGCAGCCCCAAGCCACCAGCAGTCCAGATGCCAGCAGTCCAGATGCGTGCAGTCCCACGCTGCCAGCGGTCCTGCCGCCAGCGGTCCCGTGCTACCAGTACCTCAACACCTGTGGCCCCGAGATGCCTGCGGCACCAAGACGCCAGTGGCCCCGACGCCAGCGGCCCCGCCCACACACTGTGACCCTCAGCAGCGGCGCTGCAGGGAACGGCCTAGATGGCAGCAACCTCGCCGGAAACCCTGAGCTGCTGCCTCGCCGGAGCTGTGTCATTCCGGGGAGCAGCTTCTTCTGGGAAGAGGCCTCCTCGGTGAACAGCCCTGCAGAAGCAGTATCGTCAGGGAAGAGGCTTCCTCCAGAGCGGCCTCTCCGGAGTAGCCTTGTCTGGGGAGCAGCCTCACCAGAGCAGCCTTGTCAGAGTGGCGTCATGGGGAGCAGAATCTGTGTTATCGGTGTTGTCCTCCCTGTCATTGTCGCTGTCGTCATCGCCTCTTCTTGGGAGCGGCCCTGTCCGGGGAACGACCTCACCAGCAGCGGCCTTCTTGGGAGTGGCCTCTTCTTGGGAGCGGCCCTGTCCAGGGAGCGACCTCGCCAGCAGCGGCCTTCTTGGGAGTGGCCTCTTCTTAGGAGCGGCTCCAACCGGGGAGCAGCCTCATCTGCGGAGCAGCCTCATCCGGAGCAGCCTTCTTGGGAGTGACCTTGTCAGAATCATCGTTGTCGTTTTTTTGTAAGAGATAGCCCTGACCGGTCAGTTTGATGCTTGGTGTGAAATAAAGCTTTGTTTGATTTTCGCTTTATATCAGTCTCGTTCCTTTGATCATGGACCCTAATATTGGGGGCTCGTCTGGGATCAAATGACGAGAACAGAGCCAGCATCGGAATTTTTAGGAAAAGCCTCCGGAGGTATTGGGATCTTGGGTATTGGGATCCTATCTGTCTGTCTGGTTGGAGCTCCAGGGTATAGCCCACTGGGGAGAAGCTGGACGCAGCCATGCTCCCCAAGGCTGGAGTGGATGCGGGGATGCCCCATCCCTCTGCTGATAGATCAACAGGGGTTTGAGTCCCCCTGGGCAGCTGGGGGGTTCGAGTCCCCCTACGCGCTCGGGGGATTCGAGTCCCCCTGGGCGGCAGGGGGTTCGAGTCCCCCATCGCAGTCAGGGGGTTTGGGTCCCCCTAGACGGTCAGGGGGTATGAATCCCCCGCTCGGTCAGGGGGTTTGAGTCCCCATGGGCGGTCGGGGGGGATTCAAGTCCCCCTAGGCAGTCGGGGGGTATGAGTCCCCTGCCTCACCCTAGACAATTGAGGGGTTCGAGTCCCCCTAGGCGGTTGGGGGATAAAGAAAGCCCCCACCAGTGGCAGGTACTGGGTAAGAACTGCTGGGCCTGCGGTTGTCTTTGTCTTGTCTCTTCGTTGTCTGCTGTGCTGTTTGTTTTTGAAGGAATGGGGCAAAGAGAATAAGGGAGCTCTGACTTTCGTCTCTCCATTCCTCCTAATAGATATGGGGCTTCTCCCTCACTCATTTCGTGTGTTAAGGGCTATAACTGGAGCCAACTAGGGTTGGTCTAATGCCGGGTTAAGGTGCCCAATGTTGAAGCTCATTAGAGCCAGGTGTGGAATAGGAGTGCCTAGTGGGCCACTTTTGGTAAGCAGAACTGGCACTGCGGGATGAACCGACCTCGAGACAGAGACTTTAAGGAATATTCCCAAGCAGCTGCTGAAACTCCCTTTGTTTCGGGGAATTCCTTGCCTTCTCTGGCCCGACGTGGACTGCCTAGCCCCTCCCCCTTGCTGGCAGGGAAAGCATGGCGTCTGAAGTGGAATGGGCCCAGGTGGAACATGAGGTCTGTTGGCAGAGGGATGGCTGGGCTGATGGTTAACTGTCTGTCTCAGAGTTTTAATGGGTAATTGTTAAAGTAGCTTTCAGAGTCTTTGGTAACCTGAAGCTTTAACCTGAAGTTTTGCTTGGATGACAAATGGGATGAAGTGCTAGGGCGCTGGTTGCTGGAACTAGGTTTGTGCTTTTGACATCTGTTGGTAAACATGTTTTGTGCATAACTGCTGTTGCAACAGTTCACAATTGGTTAATATTTAGTCTTCATTCGAGATTGAGATGTTTCTAAGAAAATGTAAATGGTTTTCTTTGTCCACCCAGAATTGTAAATGAGATCTCTTTGACTCATAAGGCTTTTCCCTGATATGCAAAGTTACTCAGGAAGTACTGCTAAATCAATGATAAACCTTGGGTTACATTTGGGTGAATGCTGTAACTACTCCAGAGGTTCTATACATTTCCTAAAGTTTTAATGTTTTGATAAGGGTCATCGTTTGATATTTAACCATATCTATTCTGAGTTTTTTTGTCATTTGTAATTGTTTTAATTCTCTCGTAAAATGATTTCCACCTTAAAGGAAATTCATATGGGAGACTTTCAGAACAAATATAGGTCTTTGATATGTTGAAATCCTGGAACTGAATTTCCAGGAGTAAAAGTTGCTCTCGGACTAAACCAGAATTAGTACGGTGACTCAAGGTAAGAATGAGTCTCCAGGAGCTTTCCTAGAAAGGCTAATTGAAGCCTATAAAATGTATAGCTCGATAGATCCTGAGGCACCCAAAAATCAGAGGGCAATGAATCCTGCTTTGCCAGTCAGTCAGCTCCAGATATAGGAAACTTCAGAAAAATTGAAGGATTTGAAGGGAAAAATCTGACTGAGTTAGTGGGAATAGCAAAAAAGGTGTTTAACAACAGGGATGCGCAAGAGGATGCATTTTTCTGTATACTTTTAGCAAGGGAACCTCAGCCTCTTTTTTGCCTTTGAGTGGTCTGACCAGGAAGGGTTTCAAGTCCAGCTCACCTGGACAAGACTTCCCCAAGGATTCAAGAATTCACCCACCATTTTTGACGAGGCCCTACACGAGGATTTGCATGAGTACAGAACCTCCCACCCGGGAGTCACTCTGTTACAGTACGTTGATGACTTGCTAGTAGCCACTGAGGACTATGAGTCATGTTTGCGGGGCATGAGAGCTCTCTTACAGACTCTGCAGGAAAAAGGGTATCGGGTGTCAGCAAAGAAAGCACAGCTCTATCAGAGCCATGCCACATATCTAGGCTTTGATCTCCACGAGGGAGTGCGTTCACTGTCTGAGTCCAGGAAACAGGTGATCACCCAATACCCCCGCCCCACCACGTCCCGACAAGTAAGGGAGTTTCTTGGGACAGTGGGCTACTGTAGGCTGTGGATACCGCGGTTTGCGGAGCTTGCCTGACCTCTCTACGAACTGACAAAAGGAGGGTTCACTATAATAGAGTGGACAGCTGAGGCAGAAGGAGCATTTCGGGAATTACAAACAGCCTTGCTGAGTGCCCCAGCATTGGCCATCCCAGATGTTACCAAGCCCTTCCAATTGTATGTGGATGAAAATGCAGGGGTAGCCAAAGGAGTTTTAACTCAGACTCTGGGGCCTTGGTGAAGGCCAGTGGCCTATCTTAGCAAGAAACTAGATCCAGTAGCAGCTGGGTTCCCCCCTTGCCTCCGCATAATTGCTGCAACAGCCCTCCTGGTCAAGGATGCGAGTAAATTGACTTTGGGTCAAAATCTTATAGTAACCACCACACACGTTATTGAGGGCCTTCTCCGGACTTCACCAGACCGATGGATGATGAATGCCTGAGTAACGGGATATCAGGCCCTTCTCAATGAACCAAAAGTGACCTTCCGACCCCCAGCAATACTAAATCCAGCCACACTGCTGCCAGAGGAGCTAGCTGACCATCCACACGACTGTGGGGAGGTCCTAACCCAAGTCACAGGAATAATGCCAGATCTCAGAGACATTCCCCTCCCGGATGCCGAGATGACTCTGTTCACAGATGGGAGTAGCTACATGGTCAATGGAAAGAGGTATGCAGGGGCTGTGGTGGTTTCTCCTGAGCAGGAACTCTGGACAGCAGCCCTGCCACATGGAACTTCGGCACAAAAAGCGGAACTGATTGCACTCACTAAGGCACTGCAGATGGCCAAAGGTAAAACTGCCAACATCTATACGGACAGCAGGTATGCCTTTGTTACTCTCCATATACCTGGGGCTATTTATAAAGAAAGGGGCCTATTAAGAGCAGAAGGAAAAGGAATTAAAAACAGAGGAGAAATATTGGCTCTCCTCCAGGCTATTTGGGACCCAAAAGAGGTGGCTGTTATGCATTGCCCAGGACACCAAAAGGGGACTGATCTGATTTCAAAAGGAAACCACTTAGCAGATCAAGCTGCAAAGCAAGCAGCTCGAGAAACAGTGCAAGAATTGGTTACATTCCTGGCTCCAGCCCTACTGGAAAAACCGAACTATTCAGAAGAAGATTTAAAGTATTTGCAGAAATGGGTTAAATTGGACTATGAAGGGGACTGGGCTAAGACTAAAACAGGAAAAATAATTCTTCCTCGAAGACTAGGTAAGAAGTTAGTAGACCAGATACATCAGGGTACTCATTTGGGGATACACAAACTCAAAGACCTTATAGGCTAGCAATTCCAGGTTTCTAAATTAGGGTGTATGGTTCAGGATGTAGTTGATAGATGTGCTCAATGCCAGGCAGTTAATGTGGGAAGAACTAAAATGGGAAGAGAGAAAAGAGAAAGAGGTAAGGAACCAGGAATTTATTGGGAAATAGATTTTACGGAAATGAAACCTGGAAAATATGGGTACAAGTATATGTTGGTTTTTGTGGATACCTTTTCAGGCTGGGTGGAGGCTTTTTCCGCCAAACATGAGACAGCAGGAGTGGTAGCCAAAAAGCTACTAGAAGAAATAATTCCTAGGTTTGGGCTGCCTCTTGCGATCGGGTCAGACAATGGCCCTGCATTTGTGAGTTCAGTCTCACAGGCATTGGCCAAGGCCGTGGGCACAAATTGGAAACTACATTGTGCCTATCAGCCCCAGAGTTCTGGGCAAGTAGAGAGAATGAACTGGACTCTTAAAGAGACATTGACAAAACTAATTCTGGAGACTGGCAGTGGATGGGTAGATCTTCCTTTCGCCCTCCTCAGGACTCGATGTACACCCTATTTAAACAAGGTGAGCCCATTTGAAATAATGTTTGGGAGACAGCCCCCTCACTCTGTCCTCGGCTACAGGAGGTTGCCCTAGCAGAAATGACTGATCAGTCTGTACTCCAGTCACTGCAGG